GGGTTTGCGATGAGGAAGCGGCAAACAATTCCCTCAAGTTGCCGCTTAAACGTAAGCTTGATAGGGTGTCCCTTTATACCGGAGTCGGAGTATCTTCTGTTAGGAAAATTCATAACGAAGATAAAGAAAGACTAGAAAATAACCCGAATAAAATGTTATCCAGTCCCGGAAAAAAAAGACCGCGTCAGTCTCTTGTTGAGAAAGATGAAGATTTTGATTTTCAGATTATTAGACATTTGATAAACAGATTTTATCTTGAATATAAAGTTGTCCCGACAACTAGGAAGTTATTACAAAAGTTGCGAGAAGACTCAAATTTCCCCTATTCTAGGGAAACACTCAGGAGTTTATTAAAATCAAATGGTTTTTTTGGCGCAAATGTCAAAATAAAAGAAAAGTTTTGATGGAGAGGCCTAATATATTGCAATGGAGGTACAAATACATCCGTGAAATACGTAGATATCGTGAAGAAGGGCGCAATATTGTTTATTTGGACGAAACCTGGGTGGACAATGACTTGACTTTCAAAAAATGCTGGCAGAGCGAAACTGTTTCTGGTGTAATAAGCAGTATAGGTTCTACAGGTAAGCAAAAATGCTATATATATATATATATATATGTTAAATTTAACTCTGATTTGTAACATATTATATAATCGTCTTGTATATTTTAGGTCGACTCATTATAGTGCATGCAGGTTCAGAAAATGGATTTGTTGACAATGCCTGTTTGATATTTAAGGCGGGATTAGCTACAGGCGATTACCACGGTCAGATGAATGGGGAAAATTTCACACGCTGGCTCACAGAAAAAATCCTCCCGAATATACCTGCCAATTCGGTTATAGTATTTGACAATACTCCATATCATTCCGTCCAGGAAGATAAAACCCCGACAAAATCATCTAGGAAAAAAGATATAATGGCCTGGTTGACAAAGAAAGGTACTTATGACTCAAAACATGCATGTACATATCAAACTATACAAGAAAATATTTTATAGGCATAAATCATGAGGCAACTGCCAGAAAATTTGACTTGTTCGATCTGGTCTTCATAAGCCCCCTGACAACCAAAAAATTATGTAGTTGATCGGATCATAAGATCACATGGACATACTCCTCTAAGAACACCTCCTTATTTATGCGAGCTAAACCCAATAGAATTAGCTTGGGCAAAGCTTAAATTTCATATAAGAAGCCGCAATACCACTGGAAACTTCAGTTTAACCGCACTGAAAGAAGTTACTCAGGAAGCGATGTCCTTAATATCCATTAATGGTTGGCAGAAATTTTGTCAACATGCTAGGGACATTGAAGATAAATTTTGGGAAAATGATCAATTTATGGAGGAAATGGAACCAGTCATAATAACTATAGGGCAAGATGACGACAGCGAAACTGATGACGACAGTGGCGATGATGATAATGATGAATTTGACGAACACCAATGCTAACTCAATAGGTGAAATGTAATTTTGAAATGCTGTATAATGTAAGTATTATTTATTACAGAGATTATAAGTTAAACGGATATGAAATATGTTTAAAGTTCTTTGTTTCTATTTAAGCGACACCGATGCTCTAGAAATATCCACATCAACAGTTCAAAATTGCAACAATAGGAATCCAGAAAGATGCGGATTATAAAATAAAAATTAATTCTTGTCATGTTATTATAAGATCACGGATGTATAATATATATATATATATATATATATATTATATATATATATATATATTCTCAAGGTAAAAAACCACGTTAAGTATCTATTTGTATTTGAAAAATATATTTTATTTACGGCTTTGACAAAAACGCTAGCTTGATTTAGGTTTTAAATCGCGCAGTTATCATGATTTTTTGAATTGTCGCAATTTTGGGAAGTGAGTAGACATTTTTCCGTTTGTTGAAGTGTAGAAACAAACTCAAGTATTTTTTTACATGGTGTAGATTGTAGAGAACAGCTATTTTTGAGTTTACCCAAGACTTTATTTATTATTATGGACAATGCTCCATATCATTGTGGGCTTATTGAGATACTCCCCAAATTTAAAGTGAAACATAAACGTAGAGTTTACTAAATTTAAACCAATTATGAAATAATCCCAAACTTTTATAAAATACCGCACGCCGCTGGCATTTTATGAATGAAACCAGCCATGTTTTGCTTTCCCCTCACCGATACCCCGATGTTGCAGATCCGTTTGCCAAACTATATGTACGGTTTATCTTCTCATTTCACGAATGGAATCGGCTGTACTGCATCAGCGGCTAAGTATTTAGTACGGCTTTTATCCTCAATCGATGAAACATATATTTTAAGCAAAATGGCCGTCTTACTTCAAAATGTCAAATTTTGGACATGTACGGTTTTCGAACTCACCGATTCAATTGTAGGGCGCGTTTATAGCCTCCTCGATTGTCATACTCGTTTCTCTCCTTCAAAAATTTCTAGACTACACTTGTCCCATGTCAGCGTCAGCGCTCTCCTATTGTGAAGATATGTTTTCTTGTTAAATTGTAGGAGATTTCAGGCTGATAAAACATGATATAACTCAACAGCAAGCACAATTTGATGCAAATAGATGTTTGTGACATAACCTCAAAATAGAGCGCTGACACGGAGAAGTAGAAAACTATGACAATCAAGGAGGCCATAAAGGCGCCCTACAATTGTAGGGACGATTGACGATACGGGTCTAAATACTCCCTCAAAAGATTATCTTCTTCATCTTTGCTCTCGTTCTTCCTTGTCCCCTTTCTTCTCATTTTCCCCTTTTTTCTTGAAATTGTCTGGTTGTTTGAAATACTTACAAACTGACACTATGACTTAAGAGCAGAGGTCCCACGGACCGCTCTGACAACCAACAATGACTTGACTACTCTAAGCCACAAACTACACTGGTTGATTTGTTCAAATCACCTAACCTGAGGGACAACTCCAGTGTCTCCGTGATCTTGATTAAGCCATATATAACTAGACTCCCGATGCGAAAGTTAGCCTGGACAGGAAATGAGACCTAACAGTGGGAGAATGGTTACACAAAGAAGTTTTCCACGAAACGTGGGCAGCAAAAAGAAAGAATATAACGCTGCAAGCGTATTATGTCGCACCAACTGACACAGGAGGGACTTGAAATACGAAACGGAACTACACGCAGGTTTTCTTTATTTTTTTCTTTTGATTAATAGACACGTTGAGGTGGTATAATTTTATACGACAGGCGGCTTGACTAAAGAATATTCACAAAATATTACTCTCAAAGATGTATGGATTTATGAACGCATAAGTTTTTTTACTTCAAAAAATGATCAGGATCCTCTGGAACGTCAAAAACGAAGTATGCGCTATTTTCATTCATTTTCGTTTTTGGCCTTTTTCTCTCCCGCCACTGGATCGATTTTCAAAAACATTAGTTGTGACTGATTGTTCGACCATATACTACTGTTAATATAAACTCTTGGTAAATAAAAATTATTTTCTACTTTCTAGTTCGATTAGCTATACCAGCGTGTTTTTTTTTTTAGTTTTTTAGGCTCGATTTCACTGACCCTTGGAGCTTAGACCAATGGGAAATGACCTTATCGAAATAAAATTTGACGAAAGCTATCAAAGCTATCTGATTACCAGTGATTTCTATTCAAATATTGAATAAAATCGTGAAAAAGCAATTTTATTATAAGAGCTCTTTTTGATTCCAACATGATGCTTTTCTACAGAGAAAATAGGACAACAACCCTTATTTTAAAGGTCTTTCAATTCCCTTAATAATGATATGAAATTAATGTACTTCAGTTCAGTAGTTTTGAAGATTTACTGATTTAAAGCTTAAATAAAACTAATACATCATCATTAGTGGAGATCATACATTTGGCAGCACAGTAATTTAAAAATGAAGAATGAACTGACCCGTTAGGCAAGTAAATGTTGAAAATGACCACCATGACTCTCCAAGCGATAATAAAGATTTTCCTCGAAACGTTGCCGCACATTTTGCAATATTTGAGGAGTAATTTGAAGGCACTCAATCACAATTCTTTGTTGCAGGTCTTCTAATGATGTTGGCTGAGTAGCATAGATTTTGCTTTTTAAATGACCCCACATAAAGAAATCCAAAGAGATAAATCTGGCGATCTTGGGGGCCATTCAATGGCACCTCTTCTACCAATCCATCGATCTGGAAACGTCTGATCTAAATATTGTCGCACACGTAATGCGTAATGTGATGAGGCACCATCCTGTGGGAACATCAACCTATTCGCAATGTACCGCCGATCATTCTGATTTTCAATTATGGCTGATAATGCAAGATCTATGGCGTCTTCCAGTAATTCCAAATACATTTCACCGGTCAAATTTCTAGGTAAGAAAAAAGGACCAACTAAATGATCGCCAAAAATACCAGCCCAAACATTTAATTTTTGTGGCTGCTGTGTTTGAACCTCATGATAAATTCTGGGATTAGAATCGGACCATTCACTGTAAATACCTCAAAATATCGGAGAAAAGCCAAAAATATTTAAAACCAGAGGTGTTCAAGTTAAGAGCATGAAGAGATACGTCCGTGGACCTGTTGGCGATAGTTTCCAGAGCCGTGGGAGTAATCTTCAGCCATTTTACCATATATTCCATTTTTTCATTTGGACATTTCGTCAATAGTGTCAAATCAAATTAAGAAACTAGTCTACAGAGTGTATAGGGTAATCCGGAAATAGCCGCTGGAATAAGGGAACATGAGTCAGACTGTACGAAAGAAGAATACAAACATGAAAGATCCTGAAGATGGGGATAATGTAGAAAAATACAGTGATAACAACGAAGAACTGTCGGACGGAAAAGAACGATGGTCTTGCCCAGCCTGTTGTAAACAGGGACGAGTTACCCGAAGCGGATCCACCTCTTCCACATGCGGTGCTCGTTCAGAAACCACTGCTCCTTAACAACCAGATCAGTCTACCCCTACCGACACTGTCACCCTTATACTTAAGCAATTATCAACTATGGCCAGTGACATAAAGGATATTAAGAACTCTCAATCTCAACTCAGAACTGATGTTGCTTATTGTAGAAACTTGCTACAGCAACATTCGGACTCGATCTCTCGGCATGATGACTTAATAGCGGCCTGCGAAACCAACATACAAAATATCCAGGTTACTCAGAGCTGTCTTCTAACATTGCTAATATTGAATCGAGACTTGCAAGATCTATGGAGACGATGCACTCAGGCAACGGCGCTTCTTCTACCCCTATTGCTCCATGCTCCCAAGCAGAGACAATGGAGTTATTTAGACGTTCCCACAATATCATTCTGAGGGGCATAGCTGAAGGGAACGATGACATAAACATAGTATCAGAGATAATTAGGCATATTGAACCATCTGCCGAAAATTACCGACTCAGCATCACTCGCCTTGGCAGAACAACTTCAAGAAATCGTTCAATTAGAGTTGTGTTTTCCTCACCTATTATCGTCAGCAATATTTTGCGGAAGAAAAACTCCATCCTTAGCCACCCCACGCTTCGTCACGTAAAAATCTCTGACGACAAAACCAGAGGTCAAATGCAAGAACTACAACACCTTCGCGAAGAGCTTAGACGTCGTCAAACAACAGGCGAAAGTAATATTACTATAAAATACGTTCGTGGTAAACCTTCTATAGTATACACAGCTACCCAGGAGATCACACCTTCAAAAAACTGATAAATTCTGTGGCAAACTGGACGGTTTGTTACACTAATATACAATCTCTCTTTTCTAAGCTACTTGAACTCCAAGCATTTGTTCGAGACAATAATCCAACGTTCGTTTGCCTTACTGAAACATGGCTCCATTCCAACGTGTCCGACTCTTCCATCAATTTGCCTGGATACTATTTATACAGAATGGATTCACCACTCACTCCTGGTTTTGGTGGAGTATGCATTTATGTTCACACGGAAATCGCGTCGGCTTTCTTGGTATCTCCCTCTTTCAGTCCTTTCGATGGCATTGACAATCTATTTTTGGAATTGAGGTGCCCAAATTTCAGCTTCACGATAGGCTGCATATATCGGCCACGGCCCTGTTTGGGAGAAACACACCTGTGCAGTCTCATTTCAGATCTCTTAAATAAAAACACCAACCTTTTCATAGCTGGTGACTTCAATCTACGTGACATTAGCTGGCCTATGTCAACCATTCCTGAATGGAATTCTTCTTCTACTGCTTACATCGACTTGCTACGCAACTATAGCATATCTCAACTTGTTGATCGTCCAACGAGATTCAGGGAAGGACAGACGCCTAGGGCTCTGGATTTGATATTCGTTAACGACGCCGACTTTGTTTCTAATTTAGATTATTTGCCACCTTTTGGCAAGTCTGACCACTGTTCACTTTTATCTTCTCTCCAGTTCAATATAAATAGTCGTTCTACAACCGATAAGTTTAAAACCATCAAAATTGTAAACCACGATGCTCTTAACCAAGCCCTGTCTGAAGTCAACTGGTCTGCTTTGCTTAACAACCGTAGCACCCAAGATATGTGGGACACTTTCGCTCAACGAGTCCTAAGCGAAACGGCTGACAATACTGTTGAAAAGAAGGTATACTGTGGCCCCTCAAAGCCCTGGATCAACTCTAACATATCGAGGATGCTTCGTCACAAGAGATCTTTGTGGCAACGGTTTAGGAGGAGTGGCCATTCACAAGATTACGTGTCTCATCGATCTTTTTCTAACCTCCTATCTAGAACGTTACATAATGCCAAACATGCTTATGAACGAAAACTCGTTACCTCCAAAAATAAGAAGAAGCTGTTTCGGTATCTAAGAACAAACCTGAATTCCAAAGTTTCATCACCTCAGATCCGCGACGCTGACGGTCATCTCCACATGGATGCCACCGAATCTGCCAACTTACTGGCAGAGTCCTTTAGTGATGACTTCGTCGATGAGCCTAATGGAGACCTTCTACCGACCACTATCTGCCATAGGTGTCCCAACAGCCTTTGCGAACTTGAGTTCCTGCCTGAAGATGTATTAATGCACCTGCGAAATCTGAAGACCTCTTCCTCTCCTGGTAAAGATGGGATGACGGCTGCTGTACTTAAAAACTGCGCTTCAGCACTGGCCCTACCATTAAGCTTGATATTCACATCGTCTTTTAGATCTCATACCCTACCCTCATGCTGGCTTAGTGCTTCTGTTACCCCTGTATTCAAAAAGGGCGACAAATCCTCCGCTAAAAATTATCGACCAATAAGTCTCGTTCCTATCGCCGCCAAAATAGCTGAAAGAATCATATTAGATAAGCTCCTGTCATTTGCTTTCGAAAATGACCTTATCCCTAAGAATCAGCATGGATTTCTCCCTGGTCATTCAATAATGACCAACCTTCTCCACTCTCTCAACGATTGGACTCAGTATCTGGACACAAAGACTCCTGTTGATATAATCTACTTAGATTTTTCTAGGGCTTTCGATCGCGTACCACATAGAAGGCTTCTGTTTAAGTTGGAATGTATGGGAATAAGAGGCGAGTTGTTACTGTGGATTAAGGCTTTTCTCACCGGGAGGACTTTCTTTGTGCGCGTCAGTGATAGCCAGTCTCACCTTCATCATGTAGCAAGTGGAGTTCCTCAAGGCTCTGTCTTGGGGCCAGTGCTGTTCCTTCTGTATACAAGTGACCTGCCCGCATTGATTTCCTCCACATGTTCAGCTTATGCCGACGATAACAAGATTTACAATACTGCCGTAAATTCTGCTATGCTTCAACGAGATCTTGATATTGTTTGTCAATGGTCAGTCAGTTGGCTTTCACTCTTAAATCTAACTAAGTGTAGTGTCCTTCACCTCGGGAAGACCACAACATCGAAGCAGTTTCCAGCCACACTGATCTGGGCGTTCTAGTCAACGATCGTCTTTCCTGGTCAGAGCATATTCACCACGTTACATCAAAAGCCAAGAAACTTCTATACATGCTGGAGAGGTCTTTCAAAGGATCCGATGTCAACACTTGCGCCTACATTTACAAGGCATTCGTGAGGCCAATTCTTGAATTCGCTGGCCCGGTATGGGACACTGTGCTTCTGCGCGATAGAAATCTCGTCGAATCAGTACAGCGTCGGGCTACTCATATCCCTTTTGGAGCACGAAGACCAAGCTATGAAGATCGCCTTGAATTATTCAACCTGACCTCATTCTCTGAGCGAAGACTTCGTGGCGATCTTCTAGTTACGTTCAGGATACTTCATGGTTTGATGGGCACCAACCTTATGCATCTATACCGTCTGTCGCGCAGCAATCTACGCGGACACAGCTTCAAACTGCATAAGGAGCCATTTAAATCAACAGTCCGACAGTGGTTTCTTCCCAACCGCATATTTAACACCTGGAATAGTTTACCTGAAAGAGTGGCTGGTGCTACTTTAGTTAATAGCTTCAAAGTGCAGTATGATAACTGGAGGAGTGTACAAACTTTATAGCTATGAACTGTCTTTTTTTATTTTTTCTATTTGATGTATTTGTGTTACGTGTCCATACACTATATTTACTGCATGAGCTTATAGCACTGTGTACTCTGCTCATCTCAATTATCATAATAATAATAATAATAATAATATCGGCAGTTATGACTATTTACTATGCCATTTAAGAAAAAGGAACATTCGTCGGAAGAGCAAGTGTTGAATAGATAATGTTCATCGTTTATAATTCGTTCACTCATATCTTCACAAACTTGTAATCACCGATCAAAATCGTCTTCATTAAGTTCTTGTACCCGGTGAATTTTATACGGATGAAAACTATGGGCCTTTAGAATTCGTTGGACAGTACGTCGACTAACACCACATACAGTCTCCAATTTGCGGGTACTTAACGAAGGATCTACATAGACTTGCCCTAAAACCCCCACTTCTATTGCTTCGTTCCTTATGGGATATTAAATGTTGCGTTTTTTATTGGCGACTGACCCAGTTTCCCAAAATATAGCTACAAGTTCTAGAACATATTTTCGATGCACGTTACTGTTCCCATGTCGCTCATTAAATATTTCTGCTGTTCTATTAGCGCACTGATTATTTCCGAAAAATATTTCGATAATTTCAATTCTTTCTGCTGTGGAATATACCATTAATTTATGTAATAAAGCGTTACAAGTTATTTTAGCAACAAAGTTTAGTCATATCAATCGCATGTACTTAATTCCTATTTAAAATAGGTACGAGATATTTCCTTATCCTTCTTCAAGAAATAACTTTTTTGCCACAAAAAAACCCGCCAATAGCTATTTTCAACAACAAAATGATAAACAAACCATGAGCGTAGTGAAGAAAAGCATTTACTTATTAAGTAAATTCTTTTAGTCAAATTTCTTCTGAAAGTAGTACAAACTAATATGATGTACCTGTAAAGTTTACTCTAAGCTTTAAATCAATAAATCTTCAAAACTACTGAACTGAAGCTCATGTATTTTACATTATTATAAAAAAAATTGAAAGGCCTTTAAAATAAGGTATCACTCGACCCCCCTTTCCATTTAAGATTTTAGGGTAGGTGTCACCCCCGCCCAGGGGCACGTGTTAACAAGATTTTTTGTCAAACTTGTGTCCCCTCGAAAACAAAATCGACGGGTCTGAGCTTTTTTCAAAAAAAAACTGAGCTGCCAGTAAATGCATCTGTTTCGTTTTAGATGCGCCACCCTGTATGTTAGAGCTAAAAATTTTTATGACACTGAAAATAAAAAAAAATAAAAAGGTATATTTGCTTAAAATGGGTGAATAAATAAATAATGACAATAAATAATCAAAAACAACAAATGAACAAAATCAGTAGCTGAAGCAGTATTTAACGAAACAACATAATAAATGAAATAGTTATGTATGTATATCACAGAATTTTTATTTAATTTTTTTTATTGTAATAGAATTTTTGAGCTCTAGCGTGTATAATTCACATGTTAATAGTCACATATCGAGGTTGACTGATTTTGAAGTATCAAAATCATTCAACCGCGATATGTGACTATACTATAGGTACACCTCTCAGGTGGCGAAATATGGCAACGCAGCGTATCCGTTCCATCCTATCATCGATAACCGATCTTCTTTGGTCTATTCTCCTTCTCAAACGTCACAGTAGTCTATGTTATGTGGTCACTTGTGATGTTTGTGGAAAATGGAATTTTGGAAGAACAAATTTCCGTATAAAACGTGCTCCCTCCAAGATTTTTTGTGCAGAATTACATATTACACTGTCGTGTACACGTCAAATCTGCACTAACCCCCAAATACGTGGTTATGTTGAGTGTACCATGTACCATCACCGATGG